AAGCAAATGGAGCATAAGAGCCCCCTGGTGGCTGAAGAAAATAATCCATGTATAAGCCGCACCGGTCTATAAGCTGCATGGTTCAAAGTTCAGGAAAATAGTCGCGGCTTATGGTCCGAAAAATACGGTTTATAAAATGCTAATGAAACACAAAGTTTGCAGAATTAGTTTGTAGTTTTAAAAAATGTACCAAAAAGCATTCATACATTTAGGTGACACAAATACCAGCCTGATTCTATCACTGATCTTCTACAGAAACCAAAGATGCTACTAGATCCATCAGATCAGTCAAACTCACAACAGTGAAGCATGAAAACATGTCTGATATGTCTCCAGAGGTTCAGTACCAGGTACAGTCATTTTCTCTTATAATTTAACTCGTTTGTTTTCTGTTTAACATCCCAGCTGATTGTTGTGTTCTCAGGTGCTGCAGAGTGCCTTGGTGACGTTCGACCTGATCGAGAGCCTCATAGTCCGAATTGAGGAGATCACAGAGGAAAAACTGGCAAAAGGTTAATAACATTTTCTATTGTCTGAATGACTGAATAAAGCATTCAGTGACAAAATGATGAAGCATTTTTCTTTTACTGAATTAATAAATATAAAAACAGAACATAGAGTATGCTACAGCACTTTTTATACCCATTAAAATGAGTTTGTTCTGATTTGAATTTTTTCAAATCAAACATATTGAACCACCTGTTAGGTTTTAAAGTAGGTCTCTGAGCGTTTCCCACACACGACTGTTCTCCACGATGTGAGCACGCGCCAGCGACATGCGCTCCCGGATACGGTCAACATGAGGCCTGCTGGTGGCCTGCACACACAGACGTTTTGGTTTATTACAACTATATCATAAAAATAAATAGAAAGCTGTTTTAATTTGGTTTCCCAGGATTCCCACAAACCTTGGCGACTGTCAGCATTCCTTTGACCATTTCTGCAACGTTTCGCACAGGCAGGACCTTCAGACTGCTGCCGAAAAATCTGAAAAAGGCAAGGATACAAGACTTTTCCACAAAAACAAAACCTTTGAGTAATTAGCATTCCTTGAAAAAATGCGGATTGTCGACTGTCTTTTAAGTCAGAAGGGTAAAAAAAATATCCTACAATTTTAAGGGATAGCTTTATAGTAGTTTTGGTCAAACCCTGAAAATGACATGCGACACAAAATCTGTCAGTGCTCTATGTCTGGTTCCCAAACTTTTTATCTTCTGACACACAAAATATTCATGGCAAAAACTTGTGACCCCAAATATTACTGGTCTGAGTACACGAACTTTGTTAATAACCCTAAAAACACAGGGGAAACACTGCTCTATGTTACATTCTCGTATTTACAGTGAATGCAGTTAATACTTCTTGTCACCAGAGGGCGAAACTGTCATAGTGTAGGAAAGAAGAGAAATCCATGAGAATCAGATAACAGTTCTACAACAGTCAAGGCTGCCAGGGGGCCTCAGAAAGCCGGAGGGAAGATGAAGAAAAAAAGCTAAATAAAATAGTAATTTAACCTTTATGTTTCTAAGTATTATCATAAAATTGAATATGTTTTCAAACATTTAAATTATAATTTAAAATAATATATTGAAATGTTATTTCAGAGAGCTTAAGCAAACTTGTTCACTTTCTTATCAACAAGTTTCTTGAAAAGTTTTTCAGATGGAATATAAAAGTGCTTAAAACATGTGAGTTAATAAAATTCTTATGTTAAACGCATCGTAATTATTTATTTTATTTAGTTATCCGTTGTTTAACCAGGCAAGTCCTGCTGAGATCGCAGATCTCTTTTCCAAGTGAGGCCTGGGCCTGAAAGCAACCTATTGTGCATATTTTTGGGGGCGGGGGAAACCGGAGTAGCAGGAGAAAACCCACGCAAACACATGGAGAAACGTACAGAAAGACCCCAGGTCGGAAACAGGGATCAAACCCAGGACCTTCTTGCTGTGAGCCGTCGTGCTGCCAATTGTCAACAGTAAAAGTTGATGTTGAGATTTTAACCGTTGTATCTTATTTTTTTATTACAAACTCCACCAGCACCACCACAACCTGCTGGAAGGTCTTGCAGGGTCTAAACACCCACCCCCGCGAGAGGGCAAAAGTTAAATTGTATCTGAGGATTGCAGCTAAATGCAATAATATAACACATGAAATACAAATACTTTAAGTGAAGTCCTTTTAATTTGTTTTTGTGATTAAGCTAGCAGCTAGTGTTTTTTTTTTTTTTTGTTATTTAGTTTAGCTCATGAACTTGGAGAAAGTCTGAAGTACACTCAGGCAGCAGAGGCTCATGGGATATCTCATAAATAATAATAATAATAATAATAATAATAATAATAATAATAATAATAATAATAATAATAATAATAATAATCTAATATTGATTAGGCCAATGGAAGGAATGACCATAAGTGAAACTACAGTGTTAATCTACAGAACAGCAGATTACAACAAACTAAATAAGCAGTGCAACTGGGCTCAATCAAATGGCTTGGTGGGCCAACAGGCCCAACTTTGGGCACCTCTGGTTTAAACAGTCCTGTATCTAACTAACTGTATCTAACTACCAATTTTGGGCAGTTTATTTCAGCAATACAGAACATAAAATTAACACTTTAGCAATCTGGTAACATAAATGTAAGTGTCTGTGTGTTAATACAGTGGTTATGAGCTACTGTGAAGTCAGAAATGCACCGTTTCTGATAACACGATAAATCTGGTAAGGCCTGGATGTCCCAGCTTTTCACCAGCGTTGAGGGCAGCACCACATCCCTGAATCTGGATCATCCAGGATCCATGGTCACAGCAGGATATGAGCGTTCATGTTTGACAACTTGTATTTGTGCAGTTTGAAATGTGCACATTTGAAAAAGTGTTTATGTATTTGTGAATCTTGTGGTAGGCTACACTTTCATGAGTAATTTATCTCCACAGTATGCACTGAGGATGACTCATCTACGACCACATGGTTTAGCTCAGCATCAGTAAATTTAACTACGTTTTAGCCATTTTTGTGTTGGCTACTCTCTTGGATGTGACAGCCATTTTGAATTGGATTAACTCCAAAAGTTAATCATTTGTAGCTGTAAAAACAGAGGATACTTTGGGAGTTTTAGTAAAACCCATTCAGTAACTTGCGATATTTTGCAGACAACAGACAAGAACAGTATGCAGGGAGTATGGGGTACCTGGCCATCTGTCAGGTCCTTGTACGACCAGTGTCAGAGTCTGGTCCACATTGCCGGCAGTAAGTCGGGCTCGTTTCCCGGTGAGAGTTGGACTCCGCCAAGGCTGCCCTTTGTCACCGATTCTGTTCATTACTTTAATGGACAGAATTTCTAGGTGCAGCCAAGGTGTTGAGGGGATCCGTTTTGGTGGCCTTAGGATCGCATCTCTGCTTTTTGCGGATGATGTGGTCCTGTTGGCTTCATCGGAACGAGACCTGCAGCTCTCGCTGGAGCGGTTCGCGACCGAGTGCGAAGCGGCCGGGATGAAGCTCAGTGCCTCCAAATCCGAGGCCATGGTCTTGAGCTGGAAAAGGGCAGAGTGCCTTCTCCGGGTCAGGGGGGTCGCCCTGTCTCAAGTGGAGGAGTTTAAGTATCTRGGGRTCTTGTTCACGAATGGGGGAAGAACGGAGCGGGAGATCGACAGGCGGATTGGCGCAGCGTCTGCTGTAAAGCGGGCGCTGTACCGGTCCGTCGTGGTGAAGAGAGAGCTGAGTCAGAAAGCGAAGCTCTCGATTTACCGGTCGATCTACGTTCCTACCCTCATCTATGGTCATGAGCTTTGGGTCATGACCGAAAGAACGAGGTCCTGGATACAAGCGGCCGAAATGGGTTTCCTCCGCAGGGTGGCTGGGCTCTCCCTTAGAGATAGGGTGAGAAGCTCGGTCATCCAGGAGGGACTCAGAGTAGAGCCACTGCTCCTCCACGTCGAGAGGAGCCAGTTGAGGTGGCTCAGGCATCTGGTAAGGATGCCTCCTGGACGCCTCCCTGGTGTTCTGGGCACGTCCCACCGGGAGGAGGCCCTGAAGAAGACCCAGGACACGCTGGAGGGACTATGTCTCTTAGGCGGAAGAAAATGGATGGACAGACAAGAACAGACAAATTGAGTAAATTGACAATTTTGTAAAGAAAGGAGCCATTTACTACATACCTGCTCTGAATGAGAGTCAATGTCTGCAGCTCTTTCTTCCCATTAAAAGGAGCATAAAGAAGTAAAAAGCAGTTTCTGTGGACCTGGACGAAGTTGTTTATGCGCTCAATGAGTCCTTCAAAAAACTCTTCTGGCGGGTACTGAGGCTCAACCAACAAAAACGCTGTTCCTATGAGACAAAACAATCCAAACATTTCTTTACACCTAAGTAAGAATATCTCAGGTGTGTGTGATTGGTGTTCTGAAATCATTTTACACTCATATAATGCTCAAAAAATAAAGGGAACACTCAAACAACACATCCTAGATCTGAATGAATGAAATACCTCTAAGTAAATCAAATTTCTGTGAAAATAAACTGTCCACTTAGGAAGCGACACTGATTGACAGAGCACATTCAGCTTTTTACAGAACAATGAGAATATTTCATCCATTCAGATATGTGTTATTTGAGTGTTCCCTTATTTTATTTTATTTTTTTTAGCAGCATGTTTTGAGTGTGAAAGTCTCGTAGTCTCACCTGACAGTGGATAAATAAAGGACCCGGACTCGACACTGTCAGAAAGCCTGATCCGGTGCTGCTGAGTGCTGAGCATCTTACAGGCTTCATGGTTCTGATACGAACAAAATCAATCAGTTTTTTATTTTTTATCGAAAGGGTCACGTTAACGCGTTAACTAAATGTAGCTAAAAAAAAAAGAACATACAAAAACGGATGATATAAATTTAATTTAGCATCTCTTATTACCTGAAGTGAAGAGCTAATTATAACTGTTGTTCTCCACGGACTTTTGTTCGCCGTCATTACTGATAAAATAAATTAATGGCGCAAGTTCCGAAGCGCGCGCGTGCTGTAGTGTTGTCCAGAAACTGCCGCTAGATGTCGCTGTTGTGTCGTAAAAAAACTGTTTGAGGCATTCATTAAAAAGTCCAAGTAGCCTCCAATATAAACAAAATACTATTTCACACCACATTGTTTGACAATTAAAGCATTTTTAACACCGTATTAATGTTGGCAGCAACTGTAATTTATTATAGGTTTAATCCAAGGTCAAATGAAAAAAATATACTGAACACATTTCATGTTATTAAATTAAGGTGAAAGTAACTAAATTGATTTTTCAGCCCCCAGCAACCAAATCAATGTGTCAATTAAATACACAGACACAAATAAATTTATTGGTGCCCTTTCACAAATTATAAAACACATATATTTGTGTCCTGATGCATCTCAGTAATCCAGGTAAAAAATCAAAAAGAAAAAAATTGTATAGGTCTTCTGGACGGGTTCTTCTCTAATGAAACATTTCGTCTCTCCTCCAAGAGACTTCTTCAGTCTAAGAGTTTCAGGCAAAATTCAGGCTTTTAAGTCTTGCCTCCATGTGACTGATACTCACATCACATGGCTATCGTTGACACCTAATTAACACATATTTGTGAGGAATGTCTATTTATTTAGGTAATTTCTTGTATATTTTTCTGCTAACAGAGGAGTCCATCAGGGTATTTTTTTCATGGAGTCCATTGTGACTTATCTGACAGAAGGTGCAATCAGAAAGTTACGTACCTTGACCTTGGAGCTAATCTTGAAAAGCTTCCTTAGTCATTTATCTTCCATTTCATGTAAAGGGTTGTATTTCCTTTCCTATTTTAAAGCCCATGCTTAACAGCTGCTTTGTGTTGTTCTTATATGAACAAAATCAAGCTTAGAAATGGCCGAAAATGGATAAACCGTTATCTTTAATCAGTTAAAAAAGGGCTCATTTAGATTATCTTCTGACACGACAAGAAACACATCAGAAACACAAAACTTTATTGTATTTTTCTTGAGGAAACTTCAGTAAACAGCCTTGTTTTGAACAGAGAAAAACCATCTGCATGAATAATGGCCCGTTTGAGTTAACTGTGTACTGAAGGTGTGATCGAACATAAAGAAACGTCCAGAACTCTGCACGGTCCAGGCAAACTATGCCTTCCAAACAGACACAAAGAGATTACCAATGAAATAAATTAAGATACAGTCATGTAACAACACAAGCTCAAACAGAAGGCATGGACTGTCCGACAGGCCCTCCTCTGAGTCAGTGATGTGTTTCCAGCTCCACGATGGTCCACTCTCCCTGAGGAGACGCAGCATCTTCTGGAGAAAAGCTCGTTACTGTGATGCTGGTAGAGGAGTCTTCCATGGGTGAGATGAGCTCAGCCCATCGTTTGAACGTCTCTCTCTCAGGAGACAGAAAGGCTTGAGAGTCCAGGCAGTCACGAGACAAAGACAGGGTCTGCTTGATGAGGTACTGGGCCAGGTTGAGTTCCTCGGGCACGGGGTTTATGACGCCCAGGTTGGACTCGTGGTCCGAGAGGAGCTGCCGCAGCAGGCTCCAGTCCCGCTCGGCAAACTCGCTGCTCTTGTCCCGCTCCTCGTTTTGTTTCTCTTCATCCGCCCGCTGCTCGACCTTCCTGTCCTTGCCCGAGCCGCGCTCGAACGCGTCTCCGACGTCCATCTCGTAAATGGGAGACAGGACTTTGGACGGTCGGCGCTCGTGTTTGCAGGTTTGATCCGTTGTGTCACAACCATTGTCCCCTAAAAACAATTAACAATACTGCTAAATGACAAGCGGAACCACGCCTCCACAGTTCTCCTTTCAGTTCACCCATTAACAAAAACAAAACACAGATAACTGAGCGTACCCTTAATGCAGCTGTGCCCTTTAATGGTGATGTCATGTGGGAACAGCCGAGCGAGGAATGGTTACAGTTAACCAGCAACACAATTACCACTAAATAACAGCAACCACTGACTATTCGTATGTTAAAGGGTAAACAGTTGCTTTAAAGGTAATATACAGAGGAATGCCTTTCTGAATGTATCTCTTTATCCACTTGTCAGAGATAAACACTTGATATGTTCTAAAACTAACGTGCAGCTCTAAACAGACTTAAATACAGAAACGCACCAGCAAGCAATACTGAGGTACAAAAGATGGCAAACGGCCATTTTCTTTCCCATCTATTTTAACATTTACAAACTGGCAAGCTGATTTTAGCGAGCCGCTATCTGATGCTGAAAACAATAAAGCACACGTTTTGTGTCGGGACGTCAGCCCCGTAACGCTGCAGCAGGATTCTCTTCTGTGACGATGGCAGTGAAGAAAGAGAGACATGGCAGAACTACGACAGCTACTGCAGACGGACGTCACGAACTTTACAGAGGTCGTGATAATTACAGCACTACAACTTAGAGACGACAAAAAGGCTTTTCTACACACGAGTCTACTGGGTGTGACACAGATGATGGAACAGAAACAAAAAAAATGAAACATGAAGGATGACAATCAAGTGTGGTAACTGCATGCAAGTGTGCCGTGCAAAATAAAACAAAAAACAAAACAAAACAAAAAAAAACCTACCCAGGAGCAGGTACATTCTTGAATAAAAATAATGTTTTTTTAAAGCAGTGGCAATTTGTCATCTTTTCTGAACAAACGTTTTAGATGTACGAACATCTTTAAAACCAAAAATCTGATTTGAAAGAAATCTGTTTACCCTGATCAGTTTTAAAGGTGCTACTTGTGCATTTCAAAACCAACAAATAATAAAAAAATTATATCGTTTGTATGGGACTGCAGCTACTGAAAACAAAACAAAAAAAAAAATAGCAAGTGGTGGGCACAGTTCTGCTGAACTGCTAATAGCAAAACTAGATTTTCGTTTAGCGGATTAGCTTTTTTGCTAACTTTGGAAACCGTTAGCGGACCGAACACCTTTTGCTAATTTTAAGCCCCGCTAAATAAATTTGCAAGTGTATCACTTCTATTTTTATGCCGTTTATTCCTAATTACATAAAAATTATCTCCTCACAAGCAGTGTTATATGTGTCAGGTATTGTGTGTGTAGCATGTAGCATCTTAAGCAGCTAAACTATAAACAAAGCATTAAAAAGAAACAAAATAACATTTAACAATATTTAAATAAAAACTGACAACATATTAAATATGGTAGAAAAAGTATCTGCTATTTGTATTTTTACAAATACTGTTTAAAGTTAGTCAAACAACAAAATCAATCAAAGAAACGCTTTAATTCTAAAAGAGGTAACTGGAAGAATCACAAGTCAGAAATAGAGCTATAACTCTGGTTTTGATTGGCCGATTTGCCACAGATGATCCCACCCACCTTGAAATTAACCCAGTATAAACTAACAGGTTGGTGTCAGTCTCACCAGTCTTCAACTGGAAGGAAATGAAGACGTGGGACACAGGCTGAGTGGTTACCACAGTCGGGCAGTATTTATGACCTGCATAGTCACAGTTAGCTGTCAGTTTTCTGTGAAAAGTGTATTGGTTCAATTTTTTTGTTCCTATTTAAATCACAAATCGTAAACTCTCCGTGTTAGTGGACTTTTTGTTTGCCTAAAAATAAAGAAACAGCCTCAATAAAAAGGGAAGCGTTACAGCAACACTGTTTCAGAGATGAAGAAGTAATCAGTGGCATTAAAAATACACTCCAGTGTGTAAATAAGTAAACATGACATCAAAACAAAAAGATATTGGCAATTATAAGTTGATGTTAAAATGCCGTATGGAGCACCTTGAGGTTTGACAAATGATCTATGGCTTAAAAAGGCCACAGACTCTTCCACTGCATAAAGAGAAACAACAAAAATGATAATAAATTAAAAAATTTTTCTATGTACACAAAAGTGCATTGGTGTATTCACGACACAGGTTGCATTTTTATTGTTTTATTTATTTATTTTTAACAAATGCAAACTGCTTTTTTTTGTGGTAACTTTTTTGTCACAGCCTTAATGCCTACGACAAAAAGTCACAGATGAAAATGTACAGATGAGGTTAAGTGTTGCGATGACACCAATTTCCATCTTTAAAAAGGAGACTGAGGCAAATCTCTTAAGAACTTTAAAATGAAAAGGTTGAAATGGAAGCAAGATTCTAGTTATGGAAAGAAACAATGAGCAGGTTGAGTTTTGGAGTTTGAATTTGTATTTCTAATTTGTTAACTGGTTTGATTATTGATTGTATCTTTCCTCTGAAAGATAATAAAACGAATCGTGATGAATATTGCGAAAATAAATTTGGCATTTGGGGGAAATGATGGGTTTGGATTGGGGGTCTGGGTGGGGACCATGGATCATACTTTACCTGCTGGAGATTGTGTAGCGTGTACAGAGGAGCCTCTTGTCAGCTGAGGCTCATTTAGGTCTAGGTGCAAATCAGCTTTCTTGTTTTCTGAGGGATTGGTCAGATATTTGTTCATCCCTCCGTTGTACTGTTCAGCATGCCTCAGATCCAGGTGGCAAGGGCGCTCCTGGGTAGGCAGGTCTCTGGTGTCAGAGTCCAGAGCAGGGCACGGGGGCTGGGCTTCATCCGCCTGGATGTGATTAGTCTCCTGCGCTGGATGGTGGATCTCTGTGAGGAACACAGACTTTCCTTCCAGTTCCTTCTCCTTCGGCACACCGTACGGTGGATCTGTAGTGCTTTGAGGCGCGTAGTTCTGTTTGTCCCCGGAGCTGAACTGAGGCGTGGTGGAGTCGCACTCGAAAACATCGCAGGGAGTCGCAGCGTCATCTTGCTGTTGAGGTGGGGTTTGGGCGCCGCCTTCTTCCGAGGCCAGCTCCTCGCACTCGTCGACCGAGAGCAGCACGGAGCGACGGAAGTTAGAAGACTGGTAGTCGGGCCGATCGTTCTCCTGGTCGGCGCCGTCGTCATCGAATGCTAGATTGATGATCCCCTGAAAGTGCGGCGACGGCTCGGTCGGCTGCAGCGAAGCGTCGCCTGGAACCACTTCAACTTCCGACCTCTCGTCTTCCGTCTCTTCTTCCTCATCGTCATCTTCTTCCTCCTCAGAGGAAAAGAGCTGGTGGTCGGGAACGCTTTTCACATTGGCAGGGACCTCGGCTTCTGTTTCCTCCTCCGTCACCGGAACCTCGTCTCTCTGCAGCCAGGATGGAGGACGTCGCCTAACTCCTTCCTCCTCGCTCGTGGTCTCCACCTCTCTGCCACGCAGACGCACCTCCACTCTCAGGCCGGCGCCACTTTCATACATCTTCAACTCTTCCGGGGTGCTGGTGTCGCTGCTGCTGCGGCCCAGGAAGTCGTGGCAGAGCACGGTGCCGCACTTGGACACGCCTCGGTCGTTGGAGCAGTCATCGTCCTGAGAGCCTCCGGCGTCGTAGTCCTCGGAGCGAGGCTTGATGTCGTCGGAGGAGGTGGTGTGCGTGCTGCCGGTCTCAGATTCGGGGCTGACCTGGTGGTTGGCTCCAGTCCAGGAGTCCTCCAGGGGAGTGTCGGTGCTTCCCATGCTACAAGGCGTGCCTGCTGGGCGCTCCTTTGGGGAGTTTGGTGAGCTGACTTTGACAACCTGTCCTCCGATCATCACGCCGCTTTGAAACGACTTCACTTTGCTCTCATTGGTCGGCCTGAAAGAGTCTTCATCAGAAAACGTGACATGGTGGATGTTAGCTGCTGGTGCAACGGCGCCCTCATCTTGAGGCGCAGCATTGATTCCTGAGTCTGTTTTAGTCTTTTGGGGGATCTGCTGAGGGTTCGTTTCAGGAGGATCTGACTGCTCTTCTTCTTCCATTGTTGGTTGTACTTTGTCGTTTTGATCAGACTTTTCAACCGGACCCAGTTCAGTTTTAGATTCAGCTTTTTCACCATTCACCATTTCAGATTTCTTCGTTTCTGACACCATGGATGAAGCAGCGGCAGAGGTTTTGGAGGGTTTTTGTGATGCTTTCCCACTAGATAATTCAGCAGTACTTTTTGGCTTTGCTCCAGACTTGGCTGCTATGGCAGACGACTGTTTAAAGGGCGCAGAAGAGACTTTAGCTGGTTTTGATTTAGCTGCGACTCCATTTACTGAGGCGGGCTTTGTGGTCTTCTTTTTAGACGCATCACCGTCAGCTTTATCTGTCCCTGAGGATTTCGGCACATCCTTCTTGTCTTCTTTCCTGGGAGAAGCTGGCTTTTTTACAGGTGTTCCAAGCTTTGAAACTAAACCAAAATTAAAGTGTAGGAACAAAGCATTAATTCTTCTTATAGCCCGTGAACAGACAGTTAACGTAATAAAACTGAATATCTCACCGTGATGGTCTGTGGTAGCTCTCCCCTTGGTGTCTGGTCTCGTCACTCCAGCAGACTTCTCTGGAGGACCAGCTTTGGCTTTACCAGGATCTTTCATACTTGACTTATTGGTAGGACTGATGAAACAGACAAAACAAAGTGACTAGTAATGATTTTACCATACTTTTTTTAAATAAACATCTTTGGTGCAGACTGGGTTTTTAATAAATTTAAAAACCATCTGGAGAAAAGGGGAATTATGAATTAATTTTACCACCACTGGGTGGCAACATTTGTTTTCCCTTTCACTTTCCTGAAGGCAGGCTTCTGAAACATTTAGTATTGATTTCAAGCAGTTACTTAAAGTCACGATGAAACTAAGTACTCCTTTTTGAACTCTATATACTCTAAATATTTGTATGAGCTTTAACAGGTCATTATATCATGTTGTCATTTGACAAAATCCAGAATCAATGTGGAAAAAAGGTGAAATGTTAATGTTTTCAAAGGCACTAAATTGATCTGTTGAAGCTACGTGCTGCTAATCTGACGCTAAAGAAAGCTGTAGCTGCAACAGACACTTAGCTCCACTCACACTGATTACAATCAGTGCAGACTCCTCTATGAAGGCAGGAATGTTGACAGTTTGTGTTAACACAGTGCCACGCAGAAGTGTTGATCCTAGAGAAACAACTTAAAGGGTTTTAAGGCAATTTCCAAACCATTTGGAGTCACAAGTGATTAACTTTCAGGATAGTTTCCAATCTCCCCAGGAGTGGACATCCCTGCAAATTCATCCCAAGGTCAGACTGTGCAGTGTTCAGAGAAAAAGCAGAAAGCACAGTAGCACCATCTCAGACTACGAGTTTACCGTGTTAAACATTCAAGTTCATTACAGTAAAACTAATTAAAAAGAATAAACCAGTAGGATTAGCGTGGAAGTGGTGGCAGAAAAACAAAACAAAAAAAAAAAAAACACTTTTCATGTTTTATAAAAGAATACAGCACTGCTTAGATTAGCAAAAACTGCCTATATTTTTAGTCATAATGCACACATAAGTCTTATTTTTGGAGAAAACCAAAAAATTAGCACCAACATCAAAATCACAAGTGTCAAGCACAGAGGTGGAGGGTTGATGATTCTGGCCTGAAGACTTGGGCACTTTGCAGTCACTGACTTGATCTGAAATGAGTTTAACAAAATGATCTAAAAGACAGCGATGCATTGACTCAACGTTGGGGGTGTAAGAAAATATCGATACACTGAAATATCGCAATATTTTATTTCCCCGATACTGTATCGATATTCTAAAGTCCTGGATCGATTTTTTATTAAGTTTTAAAATGTCAACTTTCCTGCCAGCCATTCATTTTTATGTTGTAGTTCAACCTCTGACCACTAGTTAGCAGCAGTGAGCCAGCCATTTGGCTTCTCTACCTCTTGAGCGCCAGAGAGTAAGAGAGCATTAGCATTGTAAGTAAACATTAGCTTTATGCTCCGATAGCTGAATCTGAGCGGAAAAGACCGACACCCTCTGCCTTCTAAGCTGAGGTAAGGTTACAAACAGTTACTTATTTGTCAGAATGTCTGTATTTTAAGACAAATTAAGTGTCTTGTGCGCTCTTTTTTCCAACTGTAGTCAGCTTTCACGTTACGCATATAGCGCATGCGTCTATCACCTCGAGCGAGCTCGGCACTCCCCCCGTGACATAAAACTCTGTCTGTTGCTCTCATTAGCTACGTTTACATGGACAAAAGTAATCAGATTAAACAACCGTTCGGAATAAAAATGTGTCATGTAAACAGCCCGTTCCGATTATTCTGATCTGATTGAGCTCGATCCGAATGAATTTTTAATCCGAATGAAAAGGGTGGGTTATGCCGATTGATAATCGGAATGACGTTCATGTAAACACTTAATCGGATCATCTTATTCTGATTGTAGAAAACTGACCTGTGCGCATGTCTGCTGACTTTCATTCACCCGGTGGGACAGCAGCGCTCCAGCTGCGCCGCACACCGCACAGAACTTTTCCTCCTCGCTCTCTTAACAGATGAAAAAGGAGGCAAACAGCAGACGTTGCTTCGCAAAAAATAAAAATAAAAAGCACGTATTGCTTCATGTGCAGCTCAACCGAGGAGTAACGGCGTCTCTACCGTTATTAAAAGCTGACACGGGTCCGTCCTGAGCACACAGAGGAGCTTTGTTTATGTTTGTAACACGGAAGTAGAGCTGAAAGTTTACAACACTGCACATGTCCGGACTTTTATTCTGAATAAAACTCCAGTGTATGTAAACACTTTTCATGATCGGATTGTGTCCATGTAAACAGTACATTCGGATTATTTAATCTGAATACATTTCAATCCGATTAAAAATTTTGTGCATGTAAACATAACTAATGTTCAGCTGATGATCGCATCAAAGTCCATGTACTTTATCCTGCTGTGTTCACTTCAAAAACGGTTTAACTTGTTTAGCTTCTCAATTTCTGAACTGGTTTTCTTCAGGACCTGCCCTGCTGTTAACTGGTTTTCTTCAGGACCTGCCCTGCTGTTAACTGGTTTTCTTCAGGACCTGCCCTGCTGTTAACTGGTTTTCTTCAGGACCTGCCCTGCTGTTAACTGGTTTTCTTCAGGACCTGCCCTGCTGTTAACTGGTTTTCTTCAGGACCTGCCCTGCTGTTAACTGGTTTTCTTCAGGACCTGCCCTGCTGTTCGACACACAGTTATACAAATCATGCTCTGGATGCAGGTCAGCTGATCCCAGAAACTCTGTGTGCAGCAGCTTCATATCATCTGTTTACTGAACTTTATGACAACATAAAGGCTATTGTTAAGTGTTGGATGACCATATTGTAAATTAATATTAAAAACGAAAAGCTGCAAAAAATATATTTTCAAACTATTTATTGGCAAATTTAGTCTAATAATTGAAAACATGGATGAAATATGAAACAAATAAAATAAAACACATACAAAGCAGAAAACAGCTAAATGTATCAAAAGTATGTCTGTGTAATATTAGAATTTTCTGAGACAATGAATTTTGGCTTTTGTTTTTTTTTCCAGTAAGAGGTTTTTATTTAATAGAATTTTTGGACCAAAAATATTGCAATATATCGCCTTGTTTACAGTATTGAAATATATCGGGATGTATCGTATCGTGACCCCTCTGTCATGATATGTATCGTATCGCCAAATTCTTGCCAATACACAGCCCTACTCAACGTGCTGAAATATCATAGCTTAGGAGAGCTTAAGGTCATATTCACACCTGACACATTTGATCTGCTTTAAATACAACAGTGATGGTTTCCCCCGTTGGTCCAGACCTTTTATGCAGGTGTGAATACATTCATGCAAACCCAGTACGACCAAACAACCAGACCGAGACCCACTTTTTGGGGTGGTCTCAGTCCACTTCCAAATGAGCTCTGGTGCAGTTCGCTTCTGGTGTGACTACAGACTGGACTCAAACCAAACCAACTACAGGAAACATGAGTCTTTTTGGACTTGATGAGCCACCGTTGCAAAGCAACATGGCAGCAGTTAGCCCTCCAGTGTTGCTAACGCTAACACTGGGCTACAAACAATGAGATATTGTGGGTCAGGGAACGTGGGGCATCTTGTCTCCTTTAGGTTGCGGCACGCATTTGACAACGCTGTCCCAAAATTATAAGTATATCATCGTGAAACCGACGTTAAATGAGCTGCTTTTGAAATTGTAAATGTAGTTGTATTAATAGCATCATCTTTATTTATGGGTCTGCTTCCTGTCATTTGTGTCTAATGTGAGCAATGATTGTCCCCTGCGTAGCTTTGTTTATAAATTATAGTCTGCTTACAAAACAGCACAATGTGAATGAAACTGCACCGAATGAAAAAAAGAAATCCATAATCTGGACAAAACAAGTGGACCGAAGGACTTTCCTGGTGAATACACCCTAAATGATTTAACAGATGTTAATGAACTGAAGCTGCAGTTAGAGAAAATGTTTCCACAGTTCTGTCAGAGACCAACAACTTCTGTTTTGTAATTTTTTTAATTTTTTTTTTTTTTTTTATAATTGCTGCATTTTGTCTTAGTTTTAGTTGAATAAGCAATAACACTTTGTAACATGTAGCATGCTGTTCATCTGAGGTTGTAATTAAGATTATTGTTAATACCTTAGAATTGAACAAATATTTAATTTAGTTATCATGGCTACATAAATTTGGATGAAGGATGTTTTTTTTTTGTGGATAAAATCCAAGCATTCAGCAGCTACCTATTGGCAAAGTCGTCACTTAACTTTTTATGAAATAAAATGTTCAGATTTTGCTAAATGTCACAGATAATTTTAACAACTCTTAAGGACAAGAGGCTCGTCAGAACACGAGACCACTGCCTTTACCTGCCTGACAACCAAATAAACTAAAAATACACACAAAGGTAATAATATACTGTACTTCAGGTCCCACTATTCTCTTTTATGTACATTTACAAGATTTATGAGTCATTTCTTTAGTTCATGTTAGTCAAAGTAAAACTCCAGGGACTTCTCTACTTATACTTATATGAGAATAAAACAGCAAAAAAGACAATAATTCATCTGTTTTTGTTTCTCTCTAAAGTTTTTAGTTCAACAGATGTATGTTGAACCCAGCGGCTGACCTGCTGTTCCTGCAGCTTTAAAGGGATCCATGGTTAGTTGTAACATTAGATTTTATTTGATAAAATTTTATTTTAACTGTAAAATAAAGACTGTAAAAATACTGTAGGCTGTTTAGTTTTTATAATTTTGAAATTTTTTTAAAAATAAATTACACGGACTGAGCCATTTTATTTACACACAAAGCCTTCTGGGTAAATGATGACGTGGATAGGTCCTCGGTGCAAGGCTGCTAGCGAGCTATATCCACCCTGAAGGTTAATCTTGGACAATATCTGATGATCGACTCTTTTAAATGAAACCAGAGAGCGTTGACAGAGAGGAGAAGGTAGAAATGACTCTGTTTACTCAGGACCTCAGTTTAGCTTGTTAGTTTGTTGCGCTAACGCCAAGCTAATAAAAAAGGATATATAGCATTGGCGCTAACGCCAACAGGCTAAGCTGAGGTTCTTCTTCCATGAAGCAGCTCTGTTGTCCTCCATCCATATTTTCAGTTACAGACTGAGTCATTTCTACCTTCTCCTCTCTGTCAACGCTCTCTGGTTTCATTTAAAAGAGTCGATCATCAGATATTGTCCAAGATTAACCTTAAGGGTGGATATAGCTCGCTCACACCGTGGACCTATCCACGTCATCATTTACCCAGAATGCTTTGTGTGTAAATAAAATGGCTCAGTTCATGTTAAAATATATTTTTAAAAAATTACAAAACTAAACAGCCTACAATATTTTTACAGTCTTTATTTTACAGTTAAAATATAGGTTTATCAAATAAAGTTAAATGTTACAACTAATCGTGGATCCGTTTAAGGAGATATCAAGGGTTTCCTTATGGTGCGTTCACACCGAACGCGATTTCAGCGTCAAAATCGCAGCCAACGCTGAAGTTTGAAGCTTGTGCACTTTGAGGTCAGACGCAGGACAGCTGCGCTGCACGGCGACAGCCGCCCCGCCCCTCCCTCCTCTGTGGGGCTGTTTGATGTCGGACGAGGAAGTGGCTTTGCTTTATTTACAGAGAGCCAGAGCATGTCACGTTCATCAGATAATTAATTCATAATTAATTCACCAGATAATTCAGAGAAGAGGCTCACAGCTCGCTTTCAGGACTATTTTTTTCAGTCTGATGAGTCGCTGCCATGCATTGCTGCGGATCAGGACACGACTGCAGCACTCATTTTAGCTAAAGAGCAGGAGCTCTGTCTGTTTCAGGTTAGTGGACATCATTCAGTAAACTGTCCCGTCGGGAAATATGTCTCTACGTCACACAGTGGAGTCTCTCTGATTGGTTGACGCTGCGCGTCGAGCTGCAAAAGTTCAGATTTTCTAACTTCAGCGATTTGCGCCTCAGCGTGTCGAACGCTCAGATCGTTCAAATCGCGCTGCTCTAATCGCGCTTGAGGCGCCGCAGAACTTCCTGACGCTGCTTGAAGCACGTCCACCATAGACTTTGTATGTAAACCTGCTGCTCCTGATGCTGAAATCGCGTTCGGTGTGAACGCACCATTAGGCTTTCACAGCTCCAAGTTTGACAAAATGACATTTGCAGAAAACCGAGAAACTGATGGTCACAAAAATACGTGAGGACAAAGTGCATCTATAAAAACAGCTAACTTATAAATTTTCTAATTAAATTTACATGTCCAACAGACACATTCTGTTTGGGTTTAATACATTTCCTCAAAATTCATCAACTCGTTGGAATGTCTGCGGAGAAACTTGTTAACGTCCAACTTGATTAATTCGATAAATAAATCTCACCTGCTGGTCTTTGGTGTCTCTGACTTCGGAGGAGGTTTTGTCAGTGTGGATTTGTTCACTGCCTTGGCCTGCTGTTTGGGCTTTGTGCCTAAAACACAGAACAGGAATCAGATACAGATACTGTCAGTGATCCACGATCACCCCACAGTACTTTGTATTATATTTATACAAATTATTATTTAACACATTGTAGCATAGCCACTGTTTAGTTCTTCTACTTAACATGCAGTTATGACACATAAGGAAAAAAATACAATCACTTCATCCTGAAAAATTACTAGTTGATTGCACCTCTTCTGGTTTTTGCAGTTGTTTAATAAAACAGCCTTAAACTTTGAATCAGATTACAATTTATACAATTTGCTGGCTTTCTAAGAGTTTGATTTCTCTATATTCTGTGAAAAGATGCATCAAAGATGCATTAACAATGTGTTAGGCTAACCTTCATAACTCTTTCTTTTATCAAATGTTTCTATGTTTGTTCCTCTCAGCTCAGTTTATTTAGAAGAAATGTATTTAATACTTTTCTCTACTTAGCTGCTAAGCTGAGTTTGCTTTTGTTTGTTTTTTGTCTGTTTTTATATTGTGAGGTGTCCTTGAAAGGCACAGACAAATTAAATATAATTATTATGATGAAGGGGGATAATGTACAAAATATGAATGAGCATTTCATAAAGACACACTGACTGCCATTTCCCCTGATTCTTTACCCAATATGTAGTTTTATGTCATTGATAAATTTTGAAATGTGCAAAGTCTGTTTTTCCATCTTTATAAAAGTAACTGAACTTGAATCCACATCATCAGGTCAGATTGATGATTCATCCACAACATTCATTAAATCCTCCTCAGTCCAGGACAGCCCACTCTAACCTCGTTACATCTGTTCAGATGATAACTTTGTTTATTTTTTGTGACATTTATTTCAGCTGATTTCTTAAACTCCTGGTCAAAAAAAAAAGTCTCCTATATAATGTTATTTACTATTTATTTAGGTTTCAGTCTTGGTGATTTGACTTAACTGTGTATTTTAGACTCAGCTGATTCTGACTGGAAACAAGCAGCATATTTATTTTTAGCAGATTGTGTGATAAAATGAGTTGTATAATCTTCCTAGTTTTGTTTTAGTTGTTGCCCATCATGCTGGGGCCACAGTTCCTGGTGGGTGCAAAAGGCCATTAGGGTCCACAAGGACTCTCGTGACGACACACATTTATAGATGCATTTCATAATAAATTACATCATCATTTTGGGTTTTACTCATTTTGACCAATTTATTTTATTCAAGTTTTTTTAATATAACTTTCCTGTTTAGGGAATGGATAAGTCATTGCATCTTCCTGCTCTCCTTTCAAACACCTTGTGCTTTGTTTTACACAATACTCTTCTGGAGATTTTATGTTATTAATATTTTTTCACCTTGTATTTGTTTTGTATGATTTTTTTTAATTGTTCAAAGATAAAAAAGTCTCTTCTCCGTGGCCTTCGACAGCATGTTAGAGCTGGACTTTATAGTTCACCGTAAAACATTTTATGCTGTTTTATTTATTTATAGGGCTGTTTTAATTGTAGGTTATTGCATCTTTTATTTGTTTTATTTTTTTATGTCTTGTGATGGTTTTTATTTATTGTTGTGTAAAGCACTTTGGTCCTGTAGTTGCTTAAAGTGAAATGTTATAAAAAAAAAAACGCTTGCATGTTACAGGAAGCATTTATTATTTTTTTAAGTCAAAATGTGGAGCAACAGGCAGATGTGGCCTTTTGATTAAAACATTTGCAATAATTGGATTTTGACAAAATATAATGAATAAATATCTTATTGTATCCTTTGAATGAAAGGTATTATCTTAAAGAATTTTTGAAGCATTTTTTCAGAGCAAAAACAACAAAAAAAACAGATTTAGAGCAAAAAAAGCCTTAGATATTTTTTCCTGCGAGCTAGCAAAGCTTTTGTTTCTTTCCAACTGGCAAATCTCAATACCCAAATATGGTTTGAGGTTTCCTTTTTAAAATTAAATCAAAAAGTTCATTAGAATAATCTAAAATTAGGATTAAGTAAACAGCTCATTATATAAGGATGTCCAGCATCAAAATGCATCTTAAAAAGCAGAAATCTGAGAAAGTGCTGAGGTTATTTTGGCTAAATTTGACTTAACCCTGTTGATGTGAATGGTCATAAAAACCAGACTGTTCAGCTTTTTATTTTCCCAACATATAAAACACCCAATAAAACCTTCTATGAAAAAGAGATTTTATCAGGAAACCTGAACAGGACAAACATTTGAGGCCTACTCAACACAAAGATGAGTTCCAGCGTGTCTCTATAGTCGACACAAAGGCTCAGCAATCTGTTCCACCTCGTTTTTACTGTTAAACAGACACTAGCTCGCTGCCAAAGACAGCTGCACGCACTCCGCTTCCTTACAAATCAACACTCAAACATAACGAGGCTCTCATCTTCCACATTTCCCTCTTAGCCTGAGCACAACATTGATTACACTAATTAAACAGAGCTTCCTTTCTTATCTGAAGCAGTGTTTGATCACTACGGGTGTTGCTGCCACTTCAGTTTGGCTGCAGTGATGCACTGCGTGGTAATCAGTGTCAGCCACACTGAGAAAATATAAAGAAGTCAATAAAAGAGAGTAAACCTGGAAGGGAGTGTGTGTCAGTGTGAGTGCTGGCTCCGTTCTCTGGTGAGATGCTGTCTGATGAGGCTGAAGCGGCGGGCTGAGTGTGGTTGGCGCTGGACTTGTAAGGCTGTCCCGCTGAGATCTTCTGAGGCTTCTTCGCAGCGGCCTGGCTCATGGAGGTCCGGCTCGGGGGACCGGTTTTAGGCCTCGCGCCGGGGTTCAGCTTTGTCTCCTGCTCTTTGGCTCCGTGGGAGCCTCTGGGGCCATTGGCGCTGCCCACGTCTCGTTTCGCCCCGGCCGCTCCCGTACCATTAACGACCGGCGTGGCGGCCGACGCCGTCTTTGCTTTCGCCGCCACGCTCTTGTCTCCTAGTTTCTTCACAGTCTTTGTTTTGGTCGCCTGACCATCTCCTGCTTTAACTGGACCCAGAGCATCGGATTTCATGGCTGACGTAGCGGAGTGGGAGGCAGGGTTTCTGTTCTGAGACACCCTGTGGTTCCTGTGCACAGGAGGACTCTCAGGTGGGGCAGATGTGGGGCATTTTACAGCCTTCGACTGAGGGATAAAAATAAGCACAAGAGTCATGTAACTGCATCACTGCGCTGGTTATTCAACAAAAAACAGCACAGGAAATGGATAATATTAGATCAATACACCACAAGCAGACCACTGGTGTCTGCCATCTTCTTTAATCTGCTGAGGTTATTTTAGCTCCACAGCTAAACCTTTACTCAAGTCAAACTTTCCATTTGTTTTAGGAATACATTTTATTTACTTTTACAGCATCAGAACAAGTAAAATCTAATTTTCTGATAGCATGAAATCTGTAAGCGATGCTTTTAGCTTCTCATGTCTACTATCTCAACATCTGTTACATTACGCACATCTGTTTGGAGCGACTGATGCTCATTTTTATATTTTCTATTTATGCGTGAGGGCGGGGCATTTACAACATATGGCATCTAAATGCTTCAAACTCAACTTGTGATGGCACATGAAGCTAAAACTGACAGCTGTTTGTATCATCAACCCAGCGTTACAATCATTTCAAAATAAAATGTTTGCTTTGTTTCGGTTTGCAAACAATATTTCTTTAAACAAAATTACAAAATTATTGATTATTACCTGTGAGCTAGAGAATACGGGTTTTTTACCAAGTCTTCGGTTGTCTCCTTTGTCAATAGCCTCTGTCAAAATAAAGAGAAAAAAGGCAAATATATCTCAGCAATGGATAAGTCAGTAATTAAGCTGGAAAAATAAATTATCCCAAACTGAGCTGTTTAGAAAGAAAGTCCTGATTTCCAGTGTTTACCCCTCGATCACAACAGAACAACCATTAAATCAATAAAGGGATTAGTCATCCGTGTCTTGTAAGCACTTTCAAAAAGAAACCGTTTGTCGAGTGAAATGTAATCTTTGTGTTACCAACCCACAAACTGACTACAGCAAATGATTCATGTAAGATGGAAGCATCTGGTTTGTATTTGCAGAAGCATTTTTCATAAGCAGAGCTCCAACAGCAGCAGCAGCCTGAGCTTCCTCCCATTAGAAACAAGTGTGGTGCATCTGGTGCATTTACCATGTCAGCGTGCACACATCACCCCAAAGAGCTTCAGACACAGCAGCAGAATCTACCGTCAAAGCTCCAGCCGCGCAGTAAATAGGTTATTGCTAAATATAGGTAGCCAGTAACTGTTAAACCAGTATCTATTCCTGCAGACTCATTGCTACAGTATCAGGCTGGAAAAACATCAAACATGCATGACATTCCACACATACATGAATACTGTGTGTAGAGGCAAAGGTCTGAGATTAAAAAATAAAAGGCTTTACCTGCGAGTATCCTCTCTCTGTGTTCAGATGGCAGCGCGTCCCATCCCTGCGTGTGGCGAACGGCATAAAAGGTCTGAAGCAGGAAGGTCCAGAGACGGCCGCTCAGCGTACGGACCTCTCGCCTGAACGGCTGGCGGTAACACACAGAGGAAGGAGAAGAATGGAAGGGGTGCGCTGCGGCGTGGACGAATCAGCAGCTGCTTCAAGAACCTTTCACCATGGCAACAAATACCCTCCCCTCCTCCCTGGTTTCCCACCGTCTACCCCTCCCTCCCTCTCTCCCTCCCTCCCTCCGCTCTGCCCCTGTTGCAGAATTCACTTGAGCTCCCCAAGCAAAATCTGCGATGTCGTTAGCCAACGGCTACGTTCTTCTTTCAACACCTTGTATTATGAAAGAAGAAGAAGAAAATCAAGCTGAAGGCAAAGAATGAGCCACTTCTACCTCTTCTGTTGTGTAAACAACACACTTCTCAACAGCAGATACACGTCCAGATTAGTGGAGGCTGCTGGCAGACGTCACCATGTCCCTCAGCCTAATCCATGCAGCCGGTCAGAGCACTGCTTATTGGGGTTATATGCTTTAACCTGTGCAGCCAGGACACTGTCTCACACACTCAACTTGCATGAGAAAGGTTTTTAACTCTGTCCTGTCAATGCTTAAAAGAATAGAAACCAAATAACTCACAATTTGAAATCTTAATCTAAGACTGATGATATCCACCAATTCCTTATTGAATCCTTCTGACAGACCGAAATCAAAACCTCAGATTCCCATCTTTTGTAATTGCTGTGTGTTTTATACAAAAACTAAAACAACTGAACACAAATCCTGGTTATTGAAAGCCATCATCATGCCCCTGCACCTTTTGAATAAAATATGTTGCAGAATGATTGGAAATTAACTTGAGAGCTTTTAAATTGATGGTTATGGCGATGATGATAAAGAACCCATATCTTACAGTGGGCACACTGCTCCCACCAAAAACACACTGGTCTTTATTCAAACCTTCTCGTCCCTCGGAAGAAGGACACCAGGTTAGAAACACTCTGTGTTCTGAGCTTCTCAGGATCCATAAAGGGATCTCCAATAATTATTTTCCTTTGACTGCCCAGAGACAGGCAGTGGTCTAAGTAGTGCAAAGAGGTCTCTAATAGCCTATACGCCACGGTCATTAATGACGTATTTCCGGTAAAATTCTTGCCACGCTCGTCCCTTCCACTTCCTGCTTACTGCTTTGTTTTTAGCGTTAGCTCCTAGAACTAGTCCGTGAAAAAGTCACAAAAGTTAWARCATCTGTGATCTACTGGTATAAAACGTGAGTTCTGTTGTGTGCCGTTGTGTCCACTAAGCAGCAGGTACGATCTAGTAGTTAGTTTTTATCCATTTTCCTCTAGAGGAGGAAAGATGACAGCTGTGGATAGCTACAGGGAAAACTTATCTTTAAAAGCTCACGCTTGCATTTGTAATCGTCATTTCTAGCCTGAGGATATTCAAGAGCCAGCATCAGAAATGAGAAGACGGAGGTTACAAAAGGGAAATGTACAATTATCCCCCCTTCACTGCCAAGACCGGGAGAGGAAAGACCACCTCACAGCTAGGAGGAAGCTAACACAGCAGCCGGTACAAAGGTAGGTGTGTGTGTGTGTGTGTGCGCACGTTTGTTTTATACAGAGTGTGAAATGTTTTAGGCAACTTTGTCATCAGTTTTATGCAAAAGTAAACTTGCTAGAGTATATTACAGCGTTAACAAAACAAGCGACAAGCCCCTCCCCCTGAGCACCGAGAGCCGCAGAAACTCCGCCTGATAATAATTAGGTTTTTAGTTCACCATCGTCAGGGAAAACGATCCAAACCATACAAGAAGCCCATCAATTTAAAGCCTAGACTCTGCTCTTTCCAACAATATAAGTGTCACAGCTCTACATGAAAAATTTACGGAACAAGCAGCCACGGAATAGCGAAAAAGGCTAAATTCTGGAACCATAAACACGAACGTCTTTCCTTTGTTTTTATGGCTTTAATCCATTTTGGATTGATTTTTTTTTCCCACTTGGCTGGACCTGTACGTCTCCTGTGTTAATGTCGGTACATGTAATATGCTAATTCTGTACTGTTGAGATCATTAAGAGTCGTTGTCGAGTGAAAAAAATCTTTCGCTAACAGTGTTTCCTTCGAACCGGAAGACCGGTTCGTGGCAAATTTGCTAGAGTCGGAAGTCCATGGCATATAGGCTATTGAGTGCCACATCATCACACAGACCATTGTCATGGAGTCCCATCACCATTTTGTGGCAGTTGAGCAGGTAGGACCTCATGCAAGAACCGTTCGTACGAACAGATTTGTTCTCAAGTTGTGCGTACGAGTGAGTTAGGAGAACTTGTGGCATTCACCAATTTTTTCGTATTCTAAGATTTTCTTCAGATACAAACAAAATTCACGAGTGGTCCAGACCTGTCGTATATTTTACGAGCAATCAGTCTGCTGTTATCCAGATGGATTTTTCTCACTAATAATTTTACATTTCATTAGTTTGAAGATATTTTTGTAACTAAGGACATAAATTGATTACATTAAATTAAATTGGCTTTTAATGCTGTTGTATAACACTATAATATTAATATAAAGATCTCAAACTACAAACCAACTTAATTTATGCATTAATTGAAGTTTGGAGACATTTAAAATGCGTCTTTTCAGAACCGCATCTGACACTTGCGACGATCGGGAGAGGGGAGACAGCCAGGCAGGGGGTGGTGGTGGTGGTGTGTGTGTGTGTGAGAGAGAGATTTGATTTGATTTATTGATTTAACAGGAAAAGATTACTAAAAATCAAGCCTGACTCAGCATAATTGCTGTTTTACATCAAGTTCCTGTTCTGCAGCACATACGTAAAACACTCAGAAATCCAGCATCACAATCACATCATTTATACACAAAGACAAACAAGCATAYCAAATTTCAGGAAGGCAGCATTTGCAAAATAGGACGTCTAAATATGAGCACAACAAAAAGTGTCCAGCAGATGGCAGACAAGATTCTTCTTAAAGGGCTGT